GGATTACAGGCATGAGCCATCGTGTCCAGCCTACATTCTTCTTTCTTAAAGGTCCTGATGCAGAGTGAGGACAATTACTTTCTCCCAGGAGGAGGGGGCAATGAGACTCATGGTAATAAGAGTGACTAACATTTGCTGAGCTCTTGCTGCATGCCAGCTACTGGATTATACATTTTAGGTGTTTTATTTCATGCAATCCTTACTCCTGCCTGCAAGGAGGTAGGTTCTACTTCATTACCCCATTTTTTGGATAAGCACATTGAGATCCAAGAGAAGCCAAGAAATCCAACCAAAGTCACACAGATAATAAGTGGGGGAACTGGAATTTGAACTCTTGCAGTCAAATTCACAGGGACATCTACTGGATAGGTTTTCATTTTTTCCCCAAAGAGTAGGAGGCAGCCATGAAGGGCAAAGGATGAACATGCTCTCTCATGTGTAAACGATGATGAATCATTCCTCCCTGTGGGGATACTGTGGGGAATATCTTGGTTCATGGATGAAAAGCCCCTGGAAAAGGGCCTGGAGGAAGAGAAACATGCAAGTAAATTTCCCTTTAAAGGAGGCTCCGGCTGGGCCAGAGATCTTACACGCGGGCATTTACTGCCATCCTGGGGTCACTGTGCTGTATGACATGCTGTGGGTTCCCGTCTCGCTAAATTCGGGAGGGACAGGGCTGGTCTCCCCAGTGAAAAATGGCTGCCTTCAGAACTTGGGTAGGAGCGTGGGAGGAGTTCTCAGGGAGGGCCTGGTGTCCTGGGGGCAAGGACTGCAGAACCCTGGAGTGAATTAACTGATTTAAATAGTCAGTGCTAGGTCTGGGGACATAAACCTGAATGAGACGCAGTGCTTGCCCATAGGTAGTATTAGTGAGACCTTATTTAAAAAAAAAAAAAAAAAAAAAGAAAGAGAGAAAAGAAAAAAAGACCAGGCACGGTGGCTCAAGCCTGTAATCTAAGCACTTTGGGAGGCCGAGGCAGGTGGATCACTTGCGGTCGGGAGTTCGAGACCAGCCTGACCAACATGGAGAAACCCCGTCTCTACTAAAAGTAAAAAATTAGCTGGGCATGTTGGCGCATGGCTGTAATCTGAAGCTGAGGCAGGAGAATCACTTGAACCGGGGAGGCAGAGGTTATGGTGAGCTGAGATCGTGTCATTGTACTCTGGCTTGGGCAGCAAGAGGAAATTCCATCTGAAAAAACAAAACAAAAAAAACCCAAGTCATAATAAGAAGCCGAACTTTATGGAGCCCTTACTACGTGCCAGCCTCTTTCTGGGCTGCCTGCTTCACGAGCACATTCCATTTAACCTCACACCAACCAAGGAGTTTCGTCAGTGTCTGGGGAACAACAAGACCCCTGGTCCAATCCCAGTCCTGCCACTTCCTGGGGACTTCACTTACCAGAGCTTCAGTTTCCTGAGATATGAAATGGAGATAAAACAGAAGAAGAAGCCTCCTGGGATGGTGCAGACCAGAGGACACAGCACAGAGAGCGCTAAGGACCGTATGTGGCACATTGTCAACACGCAGTCTGTGTCCAAGAGACGGGCTGGCAGCTCTGAGCCAAGAGATTAAGCAAGCAGCCAAGTGCAATGAAGAAGACCTGGGTCTCAGGTCAATTGTTGTCAGCAAACTTGCTATGTGACCTTGGTAAGTCATTTCCCCTCTGTGAGCCTCCTTAGCCAGCCACACAATGTGGAGTTTGGACAAAATCACTCAGATTTTTGGCTATGGGAGCTACAGAAGAAGATCTAGAAGGGTTTGCCTCCACCCATCTCTGACCCTGAGCATCAGCAGAAGGAGATGGTGATTCAAGGCTCTGTTGAAATAATGATGTGGAGGCTGGTATGATCCGTGAGTTGCAGAGGAGTAACTCACTGGTCTGGGACACTGCTTCTCAACCTTGGCCACACGGTGGAATCACCAAGGAGTCTTCAAAGATGACAGGATCCAAACTGTGCCTCTGGGGATCTCTTCAGTGGGACTCAGACACCACTGGTTTTTAAGAGCTCCCCAAGTAATCCCAATGTGTAACCTCATCTAAGACTGAGATGGAACATTTGTTTTATCTTGTGTATCAACTAAAATCAACGATCTTCTAAAATGTTCACAGAGAAAGATCTGATATCTGCCACAGCGGCCCGGTAGAAGTTTGACATAAAAGTCAAGTCATGGCTGGGAGTGGTGGCTCACACTTATGTTCACAAAAAGAGTCAAACTGTAAAATATTTGAAGAGAAATATTCTGAGCCAAGTATGAGTGACCATGGTCCCTGACACAGCCCTCAGGAAGTCCTGAGATTATGTGCCCAAGGTGGTTGGGGTGCAGCATTTTTTTTTTTTTTTTGAGACAGTCTTGCTCTGTTGCCCAAGCTAGAGTGCAGTGGCGTGATCTTGGCTGGCTGCAACCTCCGCCTCCTGGCTTTAAGTGATTCTCCTGCCTCAGCCTCCCAAGTAGCTGGGATTATAGACGCACATTACGATGTCCAACTAAGGTCTTGTATTTTTAGTAGAGATGGGGTTTTGTCTTGTTGCCCAGGCTGGTCTTGAACTCCTGAGCTCAGGGACTCTGCTCACCTCAGCCTCCCAAAGTGCTAGGATTATAGGCCTGAGCCACTGCAGCTTGCTGGTTTTATACATTTTAGGGAGGCATGAGACATCAATCAAATACATTTAAGCTGTACATTGGTTTGGTTTAGAAAGGTGGGACGATTCCACGTGGGGCTTCCAGGCTATAGGTAATTTTTTTTTTTGAGACGGAGTCTCTCTCTGTTGCCAGGCTGGAGTGCAGTGGCGCAATCCCGGCTCACCACAACCTCTGCCTCCTGGGTTCAAACAATTCTCCTGCTTCAGACTCCCAAGTAGCTGGGATTACAGGCATGTACCACCATGCCTGGCTAATTTTGTATTTTGTTTAGTAGAGATGGGGTTTCTTTATGTTGGTCAGGCTGGTCTCAAACTCCTGACCTCAGGTGATCTTCCCACCTTGGCCTCCCAAAGTGCTGGGATTACAGGCGTGAGCCACCACCCCTGACCAGCCGCTACAGGTAAATTTAAAAATGTTCTAGTTGACAATTGGTTGAATTTGAGGACCTGAGATCAATAGAAAGGAAATGTTTGGGCTAAGGTAAAGGATTAGGGAAACCAAAGTTTTATTGTGCAGAGGAAGCTTGTAGCTGGCAGGCTTCAGAGAGAATAGGATGTAAAATGTTTTCTGATGACACTTAAAAGGCTCCCTGACTCTTTGCTGATTATCTCCTGGATCTGAAAAGGAAAAAGAGGAAGGAGGATTCTCTATGAAGCGGTATGATGAGGCATGTCTGACTCCCACTTCCCATCATGGCCTGAACCAGTCTTCAGGTCTTTCAGGTTAAATTTTAAGAGTGCCTTGGCTGAGGAGGAAGTCTATTCAGATGGTTGGGGGCCTTAGAATTTTATTTTTGGTTTATACCTATAATCCCAGCACTTTGGGAGGCAGTGATGGGAGGATCACTCGAGGCCAAGAGTTTAAGACTAGCCTGGGCAAAAAAGGGAGACCCCTCCATCTGTACCAAAAGCAATTAAAAAATTATAATTAGCTGGGCATAGTGGTGTGTCCTGTAGTCTCAGATACTCAGGAGGTTGAGGCAGGAGGATCACTTGAACCCAGGAGTTGGAGGCTGTAGTGAGTTTTGGTTGCACCCCTTGCACTCCAGCCTAGGTGACAGAGCACGACTTTCTCTTTTTTTTAGGCAGGGTCTCTCTCTGTCATCAGGATGGAGCGCACTGGCATAATCTCATCGCGGCTCACTGCAGCCTTCACCTCAAGCACTGCTTCTGCTTCAACCTCCAGAGTAGCTGGGACCACAGGGCAAAGCCACCACACTTGGCTATTTTTAAATTTTTTATAGAGGCAAGGTCTCACTCTATTGCCCAGGCTGGTGTTGAACTCGTAGGTTCAAGCCATTCTCCTGCCTTGGCCTCCCAAATTGCTGGGATTATAGGCATGAGCCACTGTGCCCAGTGTACCCACTGTGACCTTGTCTTTAAAACAAAAAAAAGCCAAGTATCCATGACAAGAAGCCAAACTTTACGGAGCACTTACTAGGTGCCGGGTCCTGGGCCGCCTGCTGGGATAACAGATGCACATTACCACAACTAATGTTTTGTATTTTTAGTAGAGATCGGGTTTTGTCATGTTGCCCAGGCTGGTCTTGAACTCATGAGCACATTCCATTTAACCCACACACTAGCCAAGGTAGTATTATTGTCCCCGTTTTATAGAGATGAGGCAAAGAGGTCATGATCCCTGGTCACACAGGCTCACACAGGCAGTAGCACACTGGGATTTGAATCTAGATCATCTATATATTTCACCATTAGGCTGACCCCTTGGTCTTCAAACTGGGTTCCTTGGAGCTCTAGGTTCCTCAGAGGTGCCTGAGGAACTTGTGTGGGGTTGGACCAAGCCTGGAAATCTCTCTCCTTTCCCTTTCCAGCTGGAAATGACCCTGGTAGCCTCCTGTCATCTCTTTTCCACGTTGGGTTTGCCAGAGACTCCTTTTGGGGAGAGCATTCCTTTCTTCACCAAAAGTGTCTTTCAGCTGTAGAATCTGGGGGTTCCCACTGAAATCACCTTTGGTCATAATATCCAGAGACTGGAAACAACCCAAATGCTCCTCAATTGGTGAGTAAATAAACAAACTATAGTACATCTATACAGTGGAATACTACTCAGCAATGTAAAGACATGAGCTACTGATACATGCAATAATGTGGATGAACCTCAAAGGCATGATGCTAAGTGAAATAAGCCAGACTAAAAGGTTACAGACTATACAATACCACTTACAGAACATTCTGGAAAAGGCAAAATGATAGGAACAGAAAACAACTCAATGGTTGCCTGGGGGTAGGGATGGGATAGACTACCAAAGAGCAGAAGGGACTTTGGGGAGGTGAGGGAACTGTGCTGTGTGTGGAGCACTGGGGTCACGTGGTATTAGCCAGTGCTTTCTGACAGATCTCCCCCGCTTCCGCGCTGCTCAGGGCCCCCAGAAGCTAATCCCTATGGCAGAGGCCACTCTGAGGGATTAGTGCTGGGGAAATTAGGCACCACATCTGCCGGCCCCTGGAGAGCTTGGTAAAGCCTGTGCCTCAGAGCCTAGGAAGCCATTCCTGTCCTGTGGAACACAGGGGACTCCCAGAGGCACTGGTCGGCCAAGCTGGGGCCTGAGCTGCCCTGTTCTTGCTGGAACCTTCTGAAGAGGGTAAGTTGTGGCCAAGAGCCTGAGGTCCTGACCGGATTGTTCTGAGCAGGCTGGAGGGAGAAGGGAAGCTGGAATTCAATGCAGGGGCACACAGGGTGACCAATGGTCCCATTTGCCTGGGACTCAGGGGTTTCTGGGAATGCAGGACTTTCGGTGCTAAAATCAGGGCAGTCCTGGACAAACTGGGATGCTGGGTCACCTGGCAGGGGTTTCTGAGCCTGCTGTTTCTCTCACCTGGGAGGGGGAGCCATGTGAAGGGGAGGGTTGCTTTGCTCCCCCCGCATCCTTGGCTGCCCTCTTTGTTTTCTAGCTTATCTCTTCCCTCCTCTTCTTTTTCCAGCCCCCCAGGACCTCTTTTTGCCTTTACCCCTCGGACTCAGTTTCCTGCTTATAGGATCTCCTGTGGTGTAGACCTGAATCCTCAAAGAGCCAGAATCTTCCATGCCTTGGAGAGAATGAAGACCCAGGTGAGGCACAGCCCCAAGAAGCCTTCAAATATTGGGCTAAATCCCCCATATTACCTTCATCATCATCATCATCACATTTCTAGAGCTTGCATCTGTAGACTAGGAACAGTTTCAAATATTTTACATAAACTCACTGAATTCTCAAAACGAACCAGAAACTAACTCTTTTTCTTTTTTTGCATCCCCCAGAGGCCTCTGCCTGGAGTGACCCCAGCTCATTCCCAACTGCCTATTCAGACTCTCTCCTCCTCCCTCCCCTAGGCTGAGTTCATCTGTATCTGTGAGCCCTGAAGCCCCTTATTACACCTCTAGCTACCAATTGGTGAACAGCTTTTTATGGGCTTTGCAGGCACTATCTTATTATTTTCAGCTAAACTCTGTAAGATGTAGGAACAATTGTTATCTGCATTATGCAGATGAGAAAACTGAGACCCAAAAGGGTGTGGTCATTTGCCCAGAACTAGTAAAGGCAGAGCCAGAGTCAAGTCCTGCTTCGCTGTCCCCAGGCCCTTGTGTCTGACCATGCCACCTTCCTGCTGGCTTCTTGAGGGCAGATGTAGCCCAGTACACAGCAAGCCCTTGGGGATTGTTTTCTGCATGAATGACTGGACAAAGAAGGGCAGTCCCACAGTGGTCCGTGAGCATGAGGAAGGAGGTGAGGGTGATTGTGGCACAGACCACCTGAGAAGGAGCAGGGGCTGTGGGCAGTGTAGTCATTTTATAGGTGGTTTGGGAGATCCTGGTTCTTCCTGGGTCCTCCCCTGCTGCCAGCAATTTCCAGCTGGGAAAGGAAAGGAGAGAGATTTCTAGTGCCTACTGCAAGTCAAAATGTGAGCAGCTGGTGAGCAGTTTAGAGATTAAATACTGATCCACCTTTGGGTCTATTGGAATAAATCCTGAGATTGGAGACAGATTTGAGATGAGGCTGGGCCCCAGAGGAAGGCTACATATCTGGGGTACAGAGACCCCAGCTGCATTTGGAGGAGGAATGGGGTGATACGTCTTACAGAGCTTGACTCTCAGCTCTGCCATTCACTGCCCATGGACCCAGCAAATCAATTAATGTCTCTGAATTTTATTCTTCACCTAAAATAAACTAAGGTTGTGCTGGTCACATCTTAGGTCCCAGTTAAGGGATAGCAGGTTGCCTTCCCATCAAGGGGTCCTCACTGTGCCTGCAGCTCTGTGTTCAGGCTAGGAGGGGAGCATCTTCCATACGACCCTGTGACAGTGTCTGAGAGCCTTCCACACACTCCTTTGTGGCCGAGGCATAGTCTTGTATCTGGGGTTGCTCCTCCAACAGGTGGAGAATCCCAGTGCTTTTGGAATCTTTAATGGCTTTATTTTATAAAATTTTAAGTATCATTTACATGAAATAAAATTTGTGCAGTTCTGTGAATTTTTTTTTTTGAGACAGAGTCTTACTCTGCTGCCCAGGCTGGAGTGCAGTGGCATGAGCATAGCTCACTATGGCCTCTAACTCCTGGGCTCAAGCAATCCTCACACCTCAGCCTCCAAAGTAGCTGGGACTACAGGTGCATGCCACCATGCCTGGCTAATTTTTTCTATTTATTTGTACAGACAGGGTCTCGCTATGCTGCCCAGCCTGGCCTTGAACTCCTGGCCTCAAGTGATCCTCCTGCCTTGGCCTCCCAGAGTTCTATGAGTTTGAACAAATATATACAATCCCATAACCACCACCACAATAAACACAGCATAGTTCCATCACCTCCCCAAAGTCTCTTCTGCTCTTTAGTAGTCTACCCCAATCCCTATCCCCAGGCAACCATTGAGTTGTTTTCTGTTCCTATCATTTTGCCTTTTCCAGAATGTTCTATAAGTGATATTCTATAGTCTGTAGTCTTTTAGTCTGGCTTGTTTCACGTAGCATCATGCCTTTGAGGTTCATCCACATTATGGCATGTATCAGTAGCTTGTTCCTTTACATTGCTGAGTAGTATTCCACTGTATAGATGTACTATAGTTTATTTATTTACTCACCAATTGAGGAGCATTTGGGTTGTTTCCAGTCTTTGAACATTATGACCAAAGAGGATTTCAGTGGGAACCCCCAGATTCTACAGCTGAAAGACACTTTTGAAATCGCACAAGATTTCCAGATGTAAAAGTAAGCTCTTTACAAGTAGCCCAACCCTCTTCTTCAACGACTGGAGAAGTAGAGGCCCAGAGAGGGAAGAGACTTGTCCAGAGTTACAGCTGACTCAGGGGGTGGAGCTAAGATTTGAACCCAAGTCTTTCACCTTGCACGATAATGTAAAGTTCAAAAGAATTTCCTGAGAACCTGCTGGTGCCAGGTGGGGTCCCGGGTGTCAAAGGCATAAGAGCCAGGAGAAAATTCTCTACTGGTGCTGGAAAGAATGCTCACCTCGTACGGACCCAGACAAAGAAGCCAGTAGTAGCCAGTTACCATGAGCAGCTCTGCCTAAAGGAGAATGAGAAGGCTCCACAGATGCCCATGGGTGTTAAGGGAAGAACACAGTTTGTCTGATGGAAAAGGATAAAAGGATACCACAGCCCCAGGGAATGGCAGATGGAAAAGTACAGAGAGGCGCAATGACGTGGGAGGTGGGGGCATAAAGACACAAGTGCAGAGAAAGGGCTGGTGGAGTTCATCGGAGTCGGATCATAGGAAGTCTCTCTTGCCAGATTGTTTCCTGTAAAACAGCGCCTGGCACACTGTGCTCAACATGTGAGTGATCTTTGTTATGAAAGAGAGTGCAGGGTTGGACGGGGAGGGATGGAACATAAACTCAGCGAGACTCTTCTGGAACAGAGCCCAGAAGGCAGATGTCAGTATGTACAGACAGTTGATATATTTCAGAGTTGGCATATGAGTCGGTGGGGGACAGATTGGTGTATTTAATGAATAGTGCCGGACTATTGATTATCCATATGGAAAAATAAAATGGGATCCCTACTTATTCTATAACCAAAAATTCTTTTGTGTGTGAAAACACAAAAGCCTTTATCTTCGACCTCTGTGAAGAAAAAGATTTCTTTTTTTTTTTTTTTTTTTTTGAGACGGAGTTTCGCTCTTGTTACCCAGGCTGGAGTGCAATGGCGCGATCTCGGCTCACCGCANAGTGCAATGGCGCGATCTCGGCTCACCGCAACCTCCGCCTCCTGGGTTCAGGCAGTTCTCCTGCCTCAGCCTCCTGAGTCGCTGGGATTACAGGCACGCGCCACCATGCCTAGCTAATTTTTTGTATTTTTAGTAGAGACGGGGTTTCACCATGTTGACCAGGATGATCTCGATCTCTTGACCTCGTGATCCACCCGCCTCGGCCTCCCACAGTGCTGGGATTACAGGTTTGAGCCACCGCACCCGGGAGAAAAAGATTTCTTAAGTGCGCACACACACACACCAAACACACAATGCAAACCAAAAAGACGATAGTGATAATATGGCAACAACCAAAACCCAAACCAAAGTCCCTCCTATTCAAAAACACTGTAATAGCTGGCCAGGTATTCATGCCAGTAATCCCAGCACTTTGGGAAGTCAAGGTGGGAGGATTGCTTGAGCTCACAAGTTTGAGACCAGCCTGGCAACACAGTGAGACCGTCTCTACAAAAAATACAAAAACTGATCACATCACTGCACTCCAGCCTGGGTGACAGAGTGAGACTGTCACAAAACAATCCCAAAATACTGTAATAGCTAATAGGGATTACAATGTGTCAGACAATGTTATTTTTATTTATCAACTCATCTAATCCTTACAAATTGATGAGTTAGGCACTATTATCATCCCCATTTTACAGGTGAGGAAACAGAAGCAGAGAGAGGTTAAGTGACTTTCTTAAGGTCACACTATGGTAAGTGGCTGAGCTAAGATTGCAAATCAGGCAATCTGGCCATGGATTCACCACTACACTATTCTACCTGTCCACAAAAGTTATCAATGCAGCGTGAAAACCAAGCCACAAACAAGAACTCTAATAAGTAAAGAAAAGAAAATAGAAAAGAACCAGGCAAAGGAGAACAGTCCAACTGCAGAAAATCAAATCCAGATACATACAATAAACACATAAAAGGTATTCAACGTTATTAGTCATCAAGATGCTGCAGGTTAAAAATATTAATAGCCATAAGAGTCAAAGGTGGTGTGAGTATAAGCCAGGCACGGTAGCTCACGCCTGTAATCCCAGCACTTTGGGAGGCTGAGGCGGGCAGATCACGAGGTCAAGAGATTGAGATCATCCTGGCCAACAGAGTGAAACCCCATCTCTACTAAAACAAAAAATATTAGCTGGGTGTGGTGGTGCGCGCCTGTAATCCCAGCTACTTGGGAGGCTGAGGCAGGAGAATTGCTTGCAGCCAGGAGGCGAAGTTGCAGTGAGCTGAGATTGTGCCATTGCACTCCAGCCTGGAGCCCAGCGA